TCCATGAAGGGCTCTAAAAGTCAGTACCAGGATTTTGTAGTGCATCCTGTAAGATACAGGCAGCCAGTGCAAGCTTTTGAGGATGGGTGTAATATGTTCCCTCCTGTGGGTGCAAGTGAGCAGGCGTGCAGCAGAGTTTTGTACTACCTGCAGACGCGCAAACTCCATTGGTTAAGAGAAGTTATGTCTTACATTCATTTAGAGAAGATTAGATATACTGTTAGGGGATCTGTAAACAAATTCTTTGACATCTGGCAGCCATTTATATCTTATGTAGAAAAAACTTCGGCAGATAATTTTGTGTAAAGGTCAAATATTGTTTCATTGTACACAAACCTGTTCATTGTATCATTGATTTATGAATACAAGATGGTTTTATGTTGTTGCAGTAGATCCGGTATAGGAGGGGAGGGATTTTGGGTGTGTGTGTTTTGTTTTGTGTTTTTGTTAGTTTGTTCTTTTCTGTAGTTTGTGTTTAAAATAATAATAATAAAAAGACCTTGATCAAAAAAAAAAACCTGGGTTCATACGAGCCTGAAGGAGCGATCCACTTTAATCCAGGGAATAAGATTATGGAACAGCCTGGAAGATGAGGTTAAAAATGACAGATCCTTGTATGTATTGAAGAGAATGATAAAAACTAGTATTCTGAAGAAATATGGAGAATTATAAGTGAATTCATGTTAAATGCTGTTTGGGTTGGTGTCTTAATTTTTGTTTTAATTCATTTTTAAGTGTTTTAAGTTGTTTTGAATTTTTATTGTGTTTTACTTTTCTTTTGAACATATTTTGGGTATAAAAAGGGGCAGATATAAGATTTATTCTTCTGCTGCTGCTGCCTCATTTTATTTGATTTCATTTTGATTGTATGTTTATTTTAACTTTGTTAATTTTGTATTACAAATGAAACGAATAAATACTACTACTACATATTCACTCCTACTTCTAGTATTCAAGGTCAACTTTCAACTCTAGTGATTTGATCCTTTACACCAGCTTTTCTGTTGACTTTACATACAGTTGAACTTGTAAATTTGGTTTATTTGTATTTGTTTAACAGGGATGTATGCAGATGTCAGAATGACTTCAGAGCTGAAATACAGATATGAACAATGGGCCTCATGCAAGAACATGTTTGTATTCTTCTCCTAAATTTCTCTTACTTTTGTTCGTACAAAGGGTTCGTACGAACATGTCACGTCAGATTCAACAAACTCTTCTATCTTCAGGAAAAGTGCGTAAATTCCGCCTGTTCTATCCAGCTGCTCGTGCACGCGAGAGGAGATTAACATAATTACCACCCCCAAAAACACCGTATAAAGTTGTGTTTCCTGCCTCAGATACAATGAAGTGCTCATTCATTCATTAAAAAGACAGCGAAAATAAAAGAATTTTACGAGTTCAGAGATTAAAGTCCGTCTGTCAGAGATCCAGAAAAGAAAATCTGTCATTTTTAGCAGGTCAGGTGTGGAATAAAAAAGAGCTGCTAAAAGTATAAATAACTG